TGCTGGCTCTCCTTCCAGCTCTGTCACTGGTCAGGCACTAAGGAGAGAGGGTGGGCTGTGTGGGCTCTCCCAAACCCTCCAGGAGGATGCACCTCAGTATGTTCCGTCTTGTCACACCAGCCCAGCTCAGCTCTGAGATCCTAACACAGGGTTTGGACTTTTAAAAGTTGGCAGTAAAGGAGAACAACAATGTGCAACGCAAAGGGTTTGGTTTTTTTTTTCCTTTTTGTGGTCAATTTAAGTGAAACCTCGAAGTTGACTTTTACAATTACAGAATGAAAAGGTCTGCGGGGTGAGTCTTGTGGCTGGACTCAACCTTAAAGGTCTTTTCCGGCCTAAATGATTCTATAATTCCATGAAATAGGTGCTACATCCGACATTACTTAACAATTTTGGCTCGTGGAAAAAGGTTCATCCCTCTCCCGTTCCTCTGTGATTTTGTGTTGGTGAGGTCTGTGCTGTCCTGAGAAAACACAGTATTTGCCAAGAGGGAAGTGCTATGCCTATGGAGAACACTGATCCTGTGGATCAGCACAGGACAGCTACGGACAAAAACAAGGAAAAGGTGCAGTGGGATGGTGGTGTCCATGTTTCATCAGGTGATGAGCACTGGGGAAGAGAAGCCGCCTCTGCCCTGAAACCCAAAGCCAAACTCTGCCTGGGACTCCCTTTATTAAAACGGGAGCGTGGCTGGGAAGGGCCATCCTTTGCCTCGGGATGCAAGTCTTTCCCTTTAGTTAATGGAAAGGAGTTGGCTTCTCTAGAGGGGGAATGAGAGCACAAAGCCAGGCTGGAGTGCCCTGGAGGAACTGCTGTGTCTCCTCTGACTACACGGGGACCTTGGGAGCCGAGTCCCTGGGTGATCAAATTAGTCGTTCTGCCGCCTCGCTCCCTAATTGGCATCAGGGACACCAACTAATGAACAGTGTACAGTGGAACAAAGGAACACACACTGGAAAAGGAGAAAAATTAGCTGGTGCTAATTGGTGGGCTTGACTTTGCTGGTGTTAATCACACACGATTTAAGACAAGGGCTACAAAGTAGTGGCCACACTCTAAAAGACACTCCATTCCTACTTTACATAGATATAGTGAGATATACTGTCATAAACTGAGAGACTTCAGCTTCAAAAGAGGGGTTTTCACCTGGTCCTGCTCCTACATTAGGCTGATAAAAGCCTCAGTTTTACTGTAAACTTAGGTGCAGGCTTTGGCTGAAAACACGCTCGCTCTCATGTCTGATTTCTGATCTGGCTGACCCTCCTAGAGGGTTTTCTCATTTCCCAGTATTTAAAAATAGGTCGTTCAGAGTTTTATGAACACATGCAAAATATTAATTACAAAGTTCACCCAACATAGTCTTGGTTTGCTGGTGGGATATCTCGTCCCTCAAAGAAAAGCAAGGATTTGTGACAGTGCACTCTGCTTCAGAGATTTACACAGTAAATGCTCTTGGGTGGTTAAGGAAAGCTCAGTCTTTCTTAAATTCTTAAGTACTTTAGATTTATAAGTAAGTTACTGTTATAGTATAGCAAATCATGAATTCTTAGATTAAGTCATAAGTTAAGTTAAATGTTACAAAACATTTTTTACTTCCCTGTTTCTATGGTATCCCCACCTTTAATTCCCAATTCTGACTGTAGGGCTGTTGTTAAAACTGATATTTACAGTGAAATACAATAGAATGCTTTACTCATCACCACTTCTGCCACCTCTTCTGTAGAAGTTGGGGCTACCAAACAGCAGTTTGGGACTACAAGGGTGTATTTTAGCCACACACTGGAATTTAAAAAGTCCTTCTGGAAAAAAATGTACCACATTAATATTTGTTTAAACTCATTAAAATAAAAAATCTAATTTATAATATTGAAAATCAGATCAGTATTGTTTTCTTGAGTTTTCCAATATGGATGTTTTCCCAATTTTTAGGGTTAATGTCCACTGCTATTTTATTTTACTTGGTGAGGACAAGTCATGATGACAATGGTTGTCCCAGACTGACAGGTACTCATGTACCTCCCACTCACATGAACCACAAAAACATATTAATATCTGCCTTCAATACCACTAAAAGTCCACAGATGACCCAACACACCTGACACTTAAATTCTAGCTGGGTTTCCATTCCCTTTTTTAGTACCAGGGAAGGAAAAGTTACTTCAGGAGATGTTCCTCAAGTTTATTGCCTCCGCAAATTCCAGCCTTTGGAGCGCACGTGCCTCTGGTTGCAAGCCTGAGAAAATTCCCTAATTATGACTTTTAGTTGGCATGTAACCTCACATGCAATTTTTAAACGGGGTGTGAGTTCCCACCTGTCTCCAGGTTTTTTTTTGTGACCTCCTCTGAGTACCAGCCGTAAATTATATTCTAAAGAAACAGGGAAGGAAGCTGAAGTGGGAATCTGTGGAGACAACATCCTCAAAGATCCTCAATTACCTGCTATCTTTTAATCTTTGAGAATTGCCTCCATCCGATCTCAGCCTTTGGGAAATTATCAAACCTGGCAGTGTTTACCACTCGGCTTCAAGGTTAACAACGACACTCACCCCGTTCTCTCCTAACACCCCAATGTCACGTCAGGAGAGGGAAGCCACAGAAAGAGAAAACTAAAAGGTGGAAAATCCAGACCAATACAAGTTTTCTTTCCACACTCCAGGTAATTAAGCAGCTGATCTTGCTGTCAAGAAACTCTTTCAAGCCGAGAACTTGTAGTGCTCTGACAGGATGTTGGATTTGAAGGAGAGCGGCAGGAACAGACAGAACCGTGGCATTGTTTACAAGGCAGGTTTGAAATATCAAAATCCAGTTTTGTTGTCAGGAATTTTTTGAAGGTTTTTAAACCCTCCACGACAATCAAGCTGCTTTTTCAATCTTATTTACGTGATTTATTTTTAATAAGTGTGGAGATGAAATTTAAAGTGTAGGTAGAGTACGCAGGTTCCCACAGTGAACTGACGTAGATCAGTGACAACTGACAGCCCAGGGGAGACAAACACATCGAAAGGAAGTTCATACAAATGCTCCTGCTTAAATAATAGATACCCTGGAGGGATTTAAAAGCCATGTGGCACTTGGGGACACGGGTTAGGGGTGGACTTGGCAGTGCTGGGGGAATGGCTGGACTCAATGATCTTAGAGGACTTTTCCAACATAAATGACTCCGTGAGACTATGATAGCATCAACAGTCAGCTCTCCCTATTTAAACAAGGTTTATAGTACTTATTTCTTCTTTACCACTCCTTCAAAAGCACTTGACAAATTACCTTTTAAATATGTTTGTAGATATAAAAATATATAAATATATATCTCCCTGGCAACTTGTAAATGCAGGTACAGTCATGGATAATTTTATGAGCATGACAACCTCTGCTTCCTGACTTTATGTCCCGTTCTCTTCTTTCTTTCCTTAAAAAAAGGGCCCAGATCAAAAATTTAAAAAATTTACAATGCAGAAAAGTTGGCATTGAATCCTGCTGTGTTTCCTTTTTTTTAGATTTGTGTTGCCACACAACCAACTGTGAAGATGTAACACTAGAGAATTCATGAGATTTGAAGTTTTTCTAGGGAAGAAATTTCCTAGAGAAAAGAGAAGTCTTGTTTCTTTGGGTGACCCTTCAATTAAAAGCTTCTTCCAGGGAAGTTCATCAGCAAAACTTCTGAGAAAGATTTACAATGTCACATATTTTGAGTAGAAAATACAGTTGCCCACACAATACATCTTTATAAATGAATTCATGTTGAATATCAACATGAATTCATGTTAAATTTCATGTTAAATATCAGTTCTACAAAAGAGCTCTAAAGGAAATCTACTCTGGAAACATTCTGAATCGAGAGCAAAGCCAAAGTCTGCATGTCTACAGTGCTCTCACAACCAAATCCAAGCTTGGATCAAATCCATCAGCCACTTACCTTGTTCTCCTGCTGGTTTTCCTGGACCACACCACTTATTAGTATCAGAAAATATTCCTCAGTGTGTCCTTGATTTCCCAGCCATGGCATTTGGGCAGGTGCTTACACAGAGATCATTCTCATTTTATGGGAGATGGTAGACCTTTGCTTTCCTACAAGATTTGAGGGCTAAAGTTTTAGGGTTGCCATGGTTGGGAAACAGTTTTTTTGAAGAAAAAAACAAACCAACCAAACAAAAACCAACAACAATAAAAACCCACCAAGAAAAAACAAACAAACAAAAAACAAACCACAAAAGATACTCCACTTTCCACTTCTCAGGTGCTCTGTATTGCTTGGGTCAGTTTTTATTAATATTCTCCCCCCCCCAGTGCCAGCCATGGTGTGTCACAGGCCCAGGGCAGGGACTGTCCCTGTGCTGGCACTGCTGGGGCACCTCCAGTGCTGGGGGCAGTTCTGGGCCCCTCAGACCAGAGAGACATTGAGGGGCTGGAGCATGGCCAGGGAAAGGAACAGAACTGAGGAAGGGTCTGGAGCACCAGGATTGGCTGAGGGAGCTGGGGGGGCTCAGCCTGGAGAAAAGGAGGCTCAGGGGGGACCTTCTCAGTCTCTGCAACTCCCTGACAGGAGGGGGAGCTGGGGGGGGGGGGTGTCAGGCTCTGCTCCCAGGAAACAAAGGACAGGAGAGGAAACGGCCTCAAGCTGGGACAGGGGAGGTTTAGGTTGGATATTGCAAATATTTCTTCATGGAAAGAGCTGTCCAGCCCTGGCACAGCTGCCCAGGGCAGAGGGGGCATCCCTGGAAATGCTCAAAAAAAACATGTGAATGTGGCACTTGAGGACATGGTGGTGGTGCTGGGGAACAGTTAGACTTGATCTTAGAGATCTTTTCCAATCTTAACAATTCTATGATTCCAACTGTAGGAACATCCCTAACTCCTCACAGACCACAGAAACTTCCAGGCTTTTAATTCAGGTCTAAAAACTCCCCAGAAGTTCCATGTCCAGGCTGAATTTTCTCTCTTTCTACATTTAACAAATTAACAAGAAGCCACCAGCCTCAAAGACAAATTACCCATAAAAGATCCTAAAAACCATCTCCAAACCACACCAGAGAGAAGGAATTTTTGAAATAAACCTGAGAGAAGACAGTAGTAATTATACATTCTTAACTATTCATAGGAACACCAAACACACAAGTCCCAAATTGTTTACAAGTTTAATGACTTGCAAATCTCCACTTTTCAGTAAAAAGAACTTAATTTTTAAAGAAAAAAATTATCAAAATTTCAGTATAATAGTTCTAATACAGCTATAGTTTTTTTAAAGAATATTTACAGAGCTCTAATGAAAAATAAAAATAAGCATATGAAAATTCAAGCAGAAAATAGCTTCACCTGGCAGTAATATGGCTTCCTGATTGCTGTACTAATTAATAGAAAAATTGGATAAATACTGGTCTAATAAGATGTATTTTTATGTTTGCAGCTTTGCACAAGCACCCCTGGTTCAGGAACCACCACACGTAGAAAAAGCTGTTAAAAAAACACAGTAAGAAACACGTTTTATAAAGGAATGACTGAATTATCAAAATCTGAGCTTAAAATCTGAGTGCAAATCAATTCACATTGGAAAAAAAACCACCTGGAATTTGAATGACTGAATTGATTTAAAAACTTGTTCTGGGACTCTTAAAACTATTTCCTTGTTCTTGTGCTGGATCTTGTCTTCCTGTCCATGACTCCAGAGGTCTGAGCTGCCCTCACATTCTCTTTCCCAAGTTCTTCCTTAGTTTTGTTCCTTTTTCCTCTTCCCAGTGATCCGTTTTCAGCATTCCCTATTTATACACAGAAAAAATTAACTGTAAAGTTGTATCACCAACCAAACATTTCACACAAAATTTGATCTTCACTTCCACTGTTTTTAAGGGAAATGTCCCTACTGACAACATTCCAAAGATTACATCTCTGAATCCAACAAACCAGATACAAACCCCATTCTTCTGCACATCCAATATCCTTTAAGTTGCATCCCTGAGGATTTACAGCTATTTCTGAAAGTAGGTTAACATTAATGAGAGCACCAAAACCAATTAGCTGCCATTTGAGGTAAAATTCCTTCCACTGAAATGTAAAACTAAAACATCACCAACACCCAAGGAAAGTCCTATAAACATGAAAATCTAAGTTTTATGGCAGGAAATTCCTCAATATGGAGCTCCAAAGAGTCGCTGTCACTTCCATTTCAATGTTTGTTTGATAATATTTGCATCATGGTAGTTTTTAAGCTATATCACATTAAGCTGAAAGTTCCAGGGTATACTTTAGGTGGCCAAAAGGAGCAGGGAAGTGATTGTGTTGAGCTGGTGAGGCACACATGCTTTGTCAACGTTTGGGCCACTCACAAGAAGACACTGAGGGGCTGGAGCATGTCCAGAGAAGGGAAAAGAGCTGGGGAAGAGTCTGGAGCACCAGGAGTGGCTGAGGGAGCTGGGATCTTTGAGATCTTTTCCAGCCTGAATGGTTCTGATTCAATGATCAAATTATTTCAGTCCACAGAGCTTTGCACATATTATTGCTTTATCTGCACATAACTTTGCCACCCTTAGAAAAGAGAAAGCAAATTCTCACTCACCTGATTTTAGTTTTTTGGGTGTTGAATCATCTGCTGGCAGCTGACACTTCCTTCTGCGAGAAGTGGACGTTGCCTGTGGCACAGGGTTCCCCTCCTTTCCTTTTCCAGACTGATTCCTGCCCTCACAACCAGTGGATGTCACACACAAATTCTCAGTTTCCAGAGCATTTCCATTTTCAGGCGACTCACTGTTTTCATGGAGAGAAGTAGAAGTAGCTGCCTCTGATGTGAATTGTACCGCCCTCCTGTTATTCCTCACTTGCCTTGTTCTTCCCTGGCATGAATTATTTCCTAGAGGTGTAGCTTCAGCTTCTTTAAGAATCCTCTTTTGCCCTCTGCCTTTGGGCAGGTTGGGTTTTTCCCTGAGAGAAGTTGAAGAAGTTTCTTCAGATGCGGAAGAAGTTGTTTTCTTTCTGCTCACTCTTGACAGATTTTCTTTTGCAGGTGAAGCTCCTTCCAAAAGTTTGCTCTGTTGTTCCTCAGAAGCTCCAGCCTTACTATCTTCTGGCAGACCTTGAAGTGAGGTGGAACTACCAGCCACTGAAGCGCTTGTTTGCCTCGAGTTCTCTTTTGAAAGATCCCTGTTTTCTTGGGAAGAATTCTCCAAACTCACTTTTTTTGCTTCCCTATAGTTATTCTTCCTACCACTTTGTTTTGATGGGACCTGTTCCCCCTGATTAGGGCTTGTGGCTTCTTTGAGGGCAATTTCTTTCCTCCTGCTTTTTCTCAGTTGATTTTCTTTTACAGATGAATCATCAGTTTTTAAGGGAATGTTTTGCTCTGTTTTGGGCGTGTCTTCCCTACCATTATCCACTGGCAAACGTTTCCCTCTAAGAGGAATGGAATTTGTTGTGTGTGATGCCAGTGCAGTTTCTTTCCTTCTGCCCCTTCCTAATGGTTTCTCTTCTGCACAGGACACCGTTTCCAAAGGCACACTTTGTTCTTCATTAGCTCCCCCATCTTTAGCATCAGTCTCTGACAAGCCACATTTTCTCTGGAGAGGAGCTGAACTTTTTGCGTCTGCTGCAAGATCAATCTTCTTCCTTCTGTCCCTTGCTGATGCATTTGCTTTTACCTGAGAAGTTTTATTTCCCAAAGCTGGATTTTCATCTTCCCTCACAGTCATTTTTTTATCATCTCCTTCCAGCAACCCACGTCTCGTTCTGACAGAAGGAGATCTCGATGTCTGTGATGCTGCACCAACCTCTCGCCTTCTCCCTCGTCTCGGTGGATTGGCTTCTACTGAACAGGGAGTACCTTCCAGAGCTGCATCTCGCTCCTTCACAAAAGCCTCATCTTCACTGTGATCTGCAGTTAATGTTTGTTTTTCCATAAAGGTAGGACTGGCTGTTTGTGGAATGGAATCAACTTGCTTTCTTCTGCCCCTCCTCACTCGTGAAGGATTTTCCAAATTCTCATGTTGACTGTTGTCAGTCATTCCTTCAGCATCCCCTGGTAAACTGCTTTTTATTTCAACCTCTTTGGAACTGCCTTCTCCAAGTTCAAAATTAACTTTTTTACCTCTTCTAAACACTGTTCTGTTTCTTTGTGCTGGATTCTCCTGTAGGATTTCAGTTTGCTTTGCTTTAAGTATTCCCTGTTGGTTTCTTGCCCGTTTTTGATGGCCAGGAGCAAGACTGTCACTGTTTGCAGCAGGTTCTGACATGGCAGCTGGGCTGTTCTGGTCCTTTGTGACTTGGGATGTGTTCTTGACACAAACAGAGCCCAAAGAATCTTTAAGAGATTCATCCGCTTCTGTGTCTGACCTAAACTTAGAAGGAATTAGTTTTAGGCTGCTCCCATCTTCAGTAAATTCCTCAGCCTTTTGCTCCAAAGAGTCTTTTTTGCCTCTCCTGCTCCTCGTCCTGTTTGTTTCCTGTGCTGCCCTTCTGTTTGCTTCCAAGTTCACAGCAGTGACTGGCAGTTTCTTCGTCTCCCCACATGGTGACTCTGCCTTTAATCTTTGAGATGCCTCTGTTGTAATTTCCTGAGCATTTTCTGTTTCAGATCTCTGAGATACTTCCACCTCATTCTTGATGTATGGTTGTGCTTCAGTTTGACTTGATGTTTCCTCAGTTTTCTGAATGTTCTGTGTGTTTTCATCAACTATGACCCCACAAGCGTCTGCTTTTCCTTCAGCTGAGTGCTTTCTGTTTCTAGTACTTCTTAAAGACTTAACTCTTTTCTCTGTTACCTGTACTTCAAGTTTTGTTCCCTTTTCAGGTTCTTCTTCTGTGACAGCCTCAGGATCCTTGTCAAAAGTCTGTTCATCTCTTTGTAGGACCTTTGCTGGTGGGTCTTTACGAAGCCTCCTTGTTGTTCCATGAAGTTCTGCTGAAGGATCTTGTTTAACTTGGTCATTTCTAGCCCTTCGTCCTCTTTTAGGTGGAATTGGTGGTTCTGTGTTTTCTACTCCTCTGGTCCTTTTCCTGGGTGACAGAAGCACTTCTTCACTGTCTTCTATACCACTGTTATTAGATTTGCTATCAGATTTATTTACACCTGTTTGCAGCTGACAATTTTCCTTCTGAATGCTACCAGATCCTGTCTTTTTGCCTGGATCATCTCCAGTTTCTAACATGTCATCGACGCCACACTCCTGCAAAGGTTGTTTCATATTTGCAGGCTCTTCTGGTAGCACTGAAGAACCTTCAACACAAGACTCAAGAGTCTCACTTGGATGTTTCAACTCCTTCAGTTCTCTCCTTTTACCTCTTCCTGGTCTTTGAGTAGTTCCATGTGGTTCCTGATCAGGGTGCTTCGGAACAACTTCTTGTAGGCAATGCCTTGTTCTCCTTCCTCTTCCTTTGTTTTCAGGTGTGATTGCTCCCATCTCCTCTTGGGTGCTGGAGCCATCCAGACTTTGCAATTCTTTTAAATTCACATCCTTTTCACTCTCCTTTGCTGTAGCAGGATGGACAGTCTTCCTTGGCCTGCCCCTTCTTGGTCTCTGGGAAGACTGGTCTGCACTAGTTGATTCCTTTTGTGGAGAACCTTCACCCTGGGAAGTATTTCCTTTATTTTCTAGAACAGGGCAAAGAGTATAAAGAAAAGTTAGACATTACTATGCCTGATCAAAGTATCTGTGAGTTTCCATTTTATTAACAGTCACCTTTCTCAAACAAATCACACAGTATCTTAATTTAAAAATAAAGAAATATTTTAACCAATTCCTACATGAAAAGACCAGGCTTCTGATCAAAGTTCTCTGGTTTATTTGGTAGGCATCATTCATTACTTTCAACTACGCTCTTGAAAGTCTTTGCAAAGATAATCTGAAGTGGAAACCTTAACATCAGGTTTTTCACACTAATATGTTCACCTGTCTCCAAGGGAAAAAGGATCTTAGCTCAGGAATTAGCAGAGCTCACTGAGAGCTTTAAACAAGATTTGAACTTCATGGTAACATGTATTACTTTTCACGTTCATTATTCTTCTAAACAAAGTGTACTCACCACGTTTATGACTGGAATTAGAACAAGGAGGTGCAGAATCTTGCTGAGAATCCATTACTGATCTGACCTAAGGGAATAAACAATAATCGATAAATGCCTGTCTGACAGGACAGGAAATTATAGAGCCAACCAATACAAAATGTATAGCAATACTTGTAAAAATTCTTGGCAAATCCTTTTCCCTAAAAATGAAATCAACTAATTTTATAACTCCATCTATATATCTGACAAAAGCACACAAATGTAGCAAACAATTCTTGCCATCTAAAGTGGTGTAGCAATTTTTAAAGTGAAAGACAACAAACACTGCAGAGTTAAAAAGTGACATTAACTCTATTGGTTGACAAGTGTCTAAATGAGTGCTCAAAGGAAATTGGGGTATTGAAGAAAAATTGAGTGTTTTATTGTAGTTCTAAGCACTAAGTCCAGTGATACTCAACATTTTATCTACAGAACACAAAAATCAGCACCAATAAAATTCACAAACGACACAAGTGATGAAGCTGTGAATTGTAAGGTCAGAACGGTCACTCAGAGCAACCTCAGGAGCTTCTTACACAGGGCCCCCTCAAAGAAAATACGTATTAACACAGGCAAAGGTAGCTGTCTATAAAATGCTCCAAGATACACAAAGTCATACTAGGAGGCCTAAGAATTCATTTCAGCCACAGGCTTCAAAGTCTAAACACATCCCTTCCAAAAGGTAAGGAAAGAATTTTACCTCCATTTCCTCTGGTGTATCAAACATTTCTGTCATTCCAGCATAGTCCACTTCACCATCAGAAGGTTTCTGCCTGGGCTCTGCCATGAGCCTTTGCAGCCCCACAAAATCCTCAACTGGTTGATTCTTCTGTCTGGGAGACTTCACCAATCTGCTGATACCAAACATGTTTTCTATGGGTTGAACCTTTTCCTTTGGTGTCTTGAAAATGCGGCTGATCCCAACCATGTCTTCAACTGGTGGGTATTTCTGTTTTGGGGTTTTCTGGACTGAAGTAACCCCTGCCATGCCTTTTACTGCTCCCCTCTTCTGTACTGGAGTCTTCAGCAACCTTTTAAGGGCAACTTCATCTGTAACTGGTTCTGGCTCTTGCTGTGGGGTCCTCATGAGCTGCCTAATGCCAGACAGGTCCTCCACTGGTTCTGGCTTCCGCCGTGGGGTCCTCAGCAGTTCCTTAATGCCTGACAAAGCCTCTGCAGGCTCCAATTCCTGCTTCGGGGTCCTCATGAGCCGCCTGATACCTGACAAAGCCTCTGCAGGCTCCAATTTCTGTTTTGGGGTCTTCATGAGCTGCCTGATGCCTGACAAAGCCTCTTCAGGCTCTGTGTTCTGTTTTGGGGTCTTCATGAGCTGCCTGATGCCTGACAAAGCCTCTTCAGGCTCTGTGTTCTGTTTTGGGGTCTTCATGAGCTGCCTGATGCC